CATTTCATATGGAGACGAGCGCCAGGGATTCCTAAGTTACCCTCTTCGGAAGCTGAAGGGAGATTGCCTTAGGGCTATGGTGGATGTATACTTGGGCCAATAGGTCTTATGCGCATCTCCCTGCGACTCCGAAGAATCCTTGACGAGCTGTCCATCGTGTGGCAGACATCGTCAGAACAAAACACCACGCTTTACGATGATTCATTAAAATACGAAGGCAATAAAGGTGGTCAGCCTCAAACATACCAACTTTTATAGCTTTTATTTGTCCACCTAATGACACATTTCATGATTTGATTGGATATCCTATGCTTTGCTTAAGTGTTTGCTGACAAGTGAAGTGGTTGCGGATGGCATGTGAAGGCTTCCTTTTAAATTTATTTTTCATACGTATGGTAGTTGTTTGACCTTGTTTTTGCAACTTGGCCATATTGGCAGGGAGACCTAGAGGAACATACTTTATCCGGAGTCCGTAGTTTGCATGATAATTTCCAGTCGGACCATGGACTTGGTACATTCACAGAAGCTTCAATGGCATCGTAGTCAGCATCATCAGTGAGCCTTGCCATTAATAGCGCTACACCTGACTTATCGTCAGAAAGACAAATACATCCATTTCATGCTTCATCTACACTTACTTCACTTTTCAGCAAGCATTTAGAGAAAGCATCGGGTATCTAGCCAAATCATGAAATGCCCCATCAAGCTGACAGGCTATAAGAATTAGGTAGCCTTGCACTAGGCCACCTTTCTTATCTTCATGTATTGCTGAATTATCATTAAGCATGGTGTCTTGCTCTAACGGTTTCCGCGACGCGATGTAAGAAGTCTCAGTAAGGATTTATCGCAGTCGAGGGGCGGTGCACCGAAAACCTATTCACTCTAAAGCGATCCCCCTTCAGTTTTCGATGAGACCAGCTTAATAATCCCTTACACTCGCCTCATTAAATGAAATATGAGCTTTTCAGATAGTATAGATGTACTTTGCTTTATTCAATGAGTTTCGAATTCTCATCTTTTTTAAACTCTTCCTCTCATGCAAAGACTTTTTTTTCTAATTTGCCTGGATCTCAATAAATCATCCTGGATTCTAGAGTCAAATGTTTTCACCTACATTTATACATTGACTTCAGGCTATACAGCTATAGGACCTATATTACTTCAAAAGTAGAAGGAATTCCTTTCCAGTTGGCCTGGGTTCGTCTCTGAATTTAAAACTTTTATTCTGGATATGCCAGTGTATTATGTTCGGACATGGGAGACGTTTCAGTTTGGTTTTTTGACAAAGCCGAACTTTTTCATTCTATTACAGCTAGCTCATTCGGTACTAAACTTCAGAATACGTTTGCACATAGGCTTCTTTCTTCGTTTGGTCTGGGCTACCGGGGATTCCGTAAGTATTCACCTCATCTGTCGATGACTAGGACTGCTTTTTTTCTTGCTTCTCTCGCTCAAGTTTAGTCGGATCGTTGTCAAATAAGGTAGCTTGCTCCCTTTAGTTGCATTATAAATAAGTTTGACTGCTATTACTTTATTATATTTGTTCCGGAGTCTCCTATGTATTAGAGCTCTTATTCGAGTCTTCAGATGTTAAAAATGGATATGACCTCAAATATTGATCGTTGTTAGAGCATTATTGCTGTATCTGTCTTTGTGATTAGAAGGGCTTCCACAAATGGCTCTATCCCAAGACTAGTGCGTTTTGATTTTAAGGCACTTTTGATTAGCTTGGCCTGTAAACTTTATCTTTTATTACCGCCTCTCTCATTTATTTTATTTAATTTCAGGAAGAAGAGAAAAGACTCAAAGAACTCCATGAACGACTTGTGCGAGAACAGGAGAAAGAGCTCGAAGAAAAACGTCGAAAAGAGGTTTGTGTCATACACTTTTCCTATTTCACTTCATTTGACCCTGTCTTGCTCAATTTTTTCAATAGTCTGTTCACTTGTATTCTTTATCTCTTCGGCGACGATAAATTGGAATTTTAAAGCGAAACTCAGGCATGATCTATCATTGGGCTGCTAATGCATTATGTATTTCTCCATCAAGATTTAATGTTCGCAATTTATTCTTAATCGATCTGACTGATTCTCTCTAATGCAATGAGCCTAATGGCGTTCTGTTTTTTAGGGGTGCAGCAATTGAAATTTATAGACTTGGCCTTATATAGCAGGCCAAGAGAACCTGATATGAGCTCGCTTGACCTCCATGCTTAATTTAAATGATTGCTTTCTCCCTGAAATTGAATGTTGCTATATCATGCATACGTTGTTATGCTTTTTTGCCGGTACCTAATATTTATCATTAAACATTTCTATTCCATGATGGTCTGTCTTGTAACTATACCATAGATTGTATAATGCTAAAGCAATTTATTGTTTTCTTTGGTACTGGTTTTCTTTCCCAGGAAGAAGAGAGGGCCAGACGCTATGAGCAAGAATTACGTGAACTGGAGGAGCGTCAACGTAGCGAGGCCGAGGAGCAACGTCGAATCCGTCGTGAGCAGGAGCTTATACTCAATCGCAAACATGTTCGGCCTAAGGTCTGCTTTGCCATTAAAAAGTGACCTTGGCGATAGTTTCGTTAGTCCAATAGCTCGATTCTTCTCCCTTTGGCTCAGCAATCTAATGGAATTATGCTCCTTTTCCACAAGTTCATTACCGCTATTTTGTTCTCTTCTTTATTATTACTCGTTTTAATCTACACTATTCTCGCTCATTCATATCGATTGTATACTTATTCGATTCTCGGTACAAGGGTGCATTAATTTTACTTTCACGTTTAAGTCCTTTTTTCTCGGTCATTCGGCCAATTTTTTACGAATTTTGGTCTCACTTCAAACTTCTTGTCTGTTCTTGGAATCACCCTTTACTTAATTCTTTCAAATCTCTTTCTCCAGCCTAGTATTTTATTGGCGAACATCGTGCCTGGGTAAAACTGTTTTCGTAATTTCGTGCCGATTCATTGCCTGATTTTCTTCATTTGGGCTAGTATTTCTTGTGATCTGCCTAAATACCACTAAATTAGTGGTAAATTTTATTCAAATTTCTTTCACAATCCTTCTTATTGCTCTTTTTCACTTGCCCCTTTTGATTTATGTATATATGCTCTCGCCAATAAATTTTCAACACAAATATGAAATTGCCTATTTTTCTATTTAAAAAAATCACCGCACTGATCTCTTTTTATGCCTGTATCATTAATATTCCCAAATCGTAGATCTCTTGGTACACGTAAACATATAGTTAGGAATAGTTAATTATGAAACAGTTCTACAAATTTATTTTTACTATTTTCTACTCAATTCTTTTTTATTTCATACCCCTGACCATGTCTTTCTCCTATTTGGCTGTTTGATCCCTTACCTTGGTGCTGTCTGCCTTAGTTTTGTGCATCCTTTTTAAGCTTCTTGCAACGTTACAATTGTTTTGAAATCAGTCTTTTTCTCCTCACTATCATCTATAATGATAGCGTAACTCAAGAACCATATCTTTATTAAATGACACCGTTTATAGATGCACTCCATCAGTTTTACTTCACTCATTTCCAAGTTCTAGTGACGTATCATAGTCTCTTGCCATCCCCATCTTACTAAATTATGTATCTGTGCGAAAATCGCTAAGTTGTAGGCTATTTCAGCAAGTGCTACCATTATGGCAAGCTAGATGCTGGAGCATATATTGACCTCACTACTTTCTCTCCCGGGTGCTATACTTCTCGAAGTAGTTTTTTTATACAGCCATATTTGAGCACTTGCTTTGGCTCCCATATATATGCATCCGTGGGTCATAATTAGATGCCTTGTGTTTTTTATCTGACTTTTTCTATTTCGAAATAATTGTCCTAGGCTCTCTTGTCGTATAGCACATCTACGGGCATATTGTTCGTCAACACTCCCAAGCCATTCCATCGGGCAAAAACGAAATCGCTCAATTCGGTTTTATATTTGTTTTCCTAACTATCATTGCTTATTTTTCTAAGTTACTTTCCAATCCTGACTACCTCTTTTGGAACATAAACAAGACTTGGTCGAAATTTCTGCCCTTCTTCCTTAAGCTTCCTAGTCTTGACAATCCTATTCTGTTCAAGCAACAGCATGTTGGTTCCTTGTTGATTCGTACCATGGTGACAAGATTAGTGGTCTATTTTTGTTGGTGATGTAGGTTATTCTTTGTATGAAGTGCTGTGGGAGCATGGTTTTGATAATACATTTTTTTGTAACTTATTTTTTAAGTGTTCTTGACCAGATTTGTCTGAATTTTCGACCTCGAGTGGTTCTCGTAAGCACTCTGGGAAAAATATCTTCCCGCCAGGCCATAGAAAAAAGATAGCTTCCTAAGCTCACGTGGACAATGTGTATATATCGATGAACAAATGAACATCTATAATTAAACCATACATAAAGAAATGATAGATGCGAAGAGTAATTGGGTTTCGACTAATCTCCTGAGCTAATATAAAAAAATTGACAGGCCATTTCTCTTGGCCGCCGGCTTTCATTTATGCATAGGCCTCTGAGCATTATAACCGACTTAACTTATCAAGCTTAGCTGGAGGTCGTTAAAACAAGCTTGACAGTTGGATCATTTCCTGAGTAATAATAGGCCCTTTCAGATTCCGGTCGACGATGTAATCGGTTGCAATTATTGCTTTATACAGTCTGACAGTATTCTCAAGATTGCATTTCGATAGTGTCGGCTAACGCACTGTTACCATCGTTTTCTCCACGGCGCATAGCTTTCCATCGGTTGGTACATCGCAACAGCTTATACTATACAACATTTTCAGAATAATAGCTCTGCTGGTGTCATGTTCGGCCAACACTGAGTGCCCTGGTCAACCGAACAACCATCAAGTATCGTATAGGTATTTTCTATATATTTTAACTGGTCCATCATTTGTGTCTGCTGAAGCGATGCTGATCAGCCTATATCCAGGCCCTTTAATTATGACTTAGGCACTCCATCCAATGAGCTCTTGACAATAGCATGAAACGGTGTACTCTTGTTCAGGTCTATGACGTTTAACTATGAGTTTTAAACATGTATTCACCCTATTTCGTCTAAGGTGATGAAGGACTGGTAGTAGAATTTTCCCACAATGATATAAGTTGAGCTGACGTTTCCATTGAATTTCACATAGCCTTGCTTTCCCCAAAGTTGTTCTCATCCCGGCCGGAGTGGACTGTAGTTTCGACCTCGCATCGGTCTTATCAACACCCTCAG